CGAAGACCTGGTCCCTCTCGGTAGGGTAACAAGGGAACGTGTTCAGTGCAGATCAGTGAGTAAGCACAAGCCCGCCTTGTTTCAGTGCCTATGCATATATATATATAACTATACATAGTTATATATAAATATGAATATATAAATGTGTGTGTGTATAGCAAATACTTTTGTTTTCTTCTGTCCTTTATCACATTACTTATAAAATATAAGATGTGAACAAGGCTAGTGTGTTTCCAGTTGTACACACTTTAGTTGTGTCATGTTAGGTGCAAGTATGACTTTATAGTTATCTTTATCTAGATATTATATATGGTTTAAGGAGATGGATACAAGTGCTAAGTTGGCAAGGGATAGACTAAGATAGTTAATATTTTGTGTCAACTTGTCTAAGCTATGATTTTCAGTGGTTTGGCAGACATTGGACTGATTCCTCTTCCACAGTGTAATATAATAATAATCCTGCATTTTTCAGCTCACATAAGAAGTTAATCAGTTGAAAAACCAGTCTGCAGAAAGGCAATCAGCTGAAAGCCAATCAATTTCCTTGAATGTGTGGCCTTCATCAAATAAATATGTGATTGTTCTGGCAGAAGCTCACTATCTCTCTATCCTGCATCTGACTCATCATTCTCTGACCTCTGATTCTTGGATGACAGCAACCTGCCAACTGACCTCTCTATTTTGGGTTTCTCTGCTCCTGAAACTATGTGAGTTAGGAGAGGCCCCAGCCTGATACCATGAATTTGGGATTCGCTTGAATCATTTCCTTGAAATAAATTTCTCTCTCAAATCTACATCTATATCTATATCTATATCTATATCTACATCTACATCTATATCTATTTATATCATCTATCTCTATCTCTATCTATATAACCAAACTTTACTGATTTTGCTCCTTTAGAGAACCAATCCTAAAACAGAAATGCTGGTGGCTGAGGAATATCTTACTGACCATGAAGACTAGCAACAGAAACCTTCTGGATTAGGTGGCATTTGCCCATTCATTTTGGGAATTTCTATGTTTTTAAGAAAAAAATATGACTTAAAATTATGACTTCATTAGGTGATGAAAATTATTATTTTTACTTTAATGTTATATAAGCCTCTTTCTTCAAGTGTTAACTTCCTTTTCTGTATTTTTAGATGGCTACCCCAAAGAAGAAATGATTTACAGATGGAGAAAAAATTCAGTTGAGGCAGCTGATCAAAAATCATGGCGTCTTTATCAGTTTGACTTCATGGGCCTCAGAAACACCACAGAAACTGTTACCACATCTGCAGGTAGGAATTAAAGAAGCATGGTTCTCAAAACAAGACAAGATTATACCCTACCCACTCACCACTGTTCCACTCCCAAGGCCTCAGGCTAATTATGGGTAGTGATATCCTTAATAAGGAGTTCTTTCATGGACATATTTTTAACTGACCATATTAGGACAACCATGACACCAAGGTGATATTTGAGGCAAAACAACTTATTTAAAAGTGAAAATATTTTTTTTAAATATTTTAATTTGTGTGGAAGAGGGCAAACAGAATGGAGTTATATTTTTAAATTGAGTCTGTTTTTGTATTATGCCCATAAGCCAAACTAAGATTATTCACTAGTTACCATATTTACATTAACCTATTTTACTGATGATGAGAGTTCTACCACTCTTCACATACATAATAAGAATCAAAGATTATCAAAAACCCATAAAAAAAGAAGCTAATGTGAAATGAACTTTGAGTTTTAATTTCTAATTTCTTCATTTCCTACACTTTGAAATTATCTTACATTTTGAGATTTTTGTTCCAGTTTTGTTCTAGCTTTTCCAATAGATTGAGCACAATATTACTTACTAATTTGATGTCTTAAGTGATCATTATATGCACATTATAAAGCATAAAAGTGGAAGAAGAGACATTTGAATGGATTTTTATTTTTCATTTCTTTGTTTCTTCTGTTATTTACTTATTCCTTATAGTCCACTATTTTCTCTTGGCACAGTGAGGGATGCAGATGGGAGTTAGGGTAATCTTTTGTACTTCTTTTTTTTAAATTGTTGACATGTGTAATTTATTAACCCACTGCCATCGAGTCAGATTCAACTCATAGCAACCCCTCCTTGGGTTCTGAGGCAGTATCACTAGGGAGGTAGTTTGCCAGACCTTCCTTCTGAGGAATGGCTGGTGGGTTTGAACCACCAGCCTTCTGGTTAGCAGTCAAATACCTTAGGCACTATGCCAACAGAGCTCCCTCCCAAAATTCCATAATTATGTATTCCACTTATATCTAGCTCAAGATGTAAATTTTGACAATTCAAAGTAAATATCTTTGGAGAACGTTGCAAGTTCTCAGTAGAATTATCAATTTGAGAGCAATTTCTGTATTAAGAAAAGTCTTGGAGAAAGGAAAAGATTCACATTAGTATCCTGTGGTAAAGATGAAATTGTGATCAGAATGTAATTATTAAACAAGGAGAGTTGAAAGAATGGAAGATCACAATTTACTTAAATTAACCGTGGAGGTAGTGTGAAGACACATGGAGGCAGCATGAATATTAAGTCTGGCCATTCTTGCTTCCAAGGAGTATTCCAGTTCCACTTCTTCAAAGACAGATTTCTTTGTTCTTCTGGCAGTACATGGTATTTTCAATATTCTTCGTTTACACCACAATTCAAATACATGAATTCTTCTTTTCCCAATTGTGAGTCACTTCATGTTATTAATTTAGCTCCACTCCCTAATGGTCCCACCAGACTGCCCAAGGGAGGGACACCAAATAGGGGACTTGTTCTGCATTTAAAAGCCATATGTGGAAGCTTCCTTTCCTTTCCTGGTGTTCTCAGCAAGACAATGTTAAACAAAAGAAAACTAACCATAAGGTTAAGGCTAATTTTACACAAGAGGTTCAGGGTTTTGGAATTGATGGCAGGACAAAACTAAAACAGAAAAGGGGTAAATTAAGGGAGTGATGGAGTTGTGGTTATAGTTTGAGTAATGATTATGCTATATGCTTAGCACTATTCAAAGTGTAATTGTGGATACAAAGTGTGAAAAGCATTCAGTGGCAGTAAGCAGTTTTTGGACTTCCTAGAAGAAAATGATAAAAACAGGAGAGGGTAATGGAAAACCTAAGGATAGATACATGCCAAATTATGAGGAAGAGAGTAGTAATGTTTGGGATGCTCATTTATGAATAAGAGATGCTTGTCCTTCTGAAATTTCTTTCCTACCATCCAACAGGGGTGATCTGCCCATGTTGTGGTGATTGTTGGGTGCCATCAAAATTGCTTCAACTCATAACAACCTTATATACAACAGAACAAAACAATGCCTAGTCCTGTGCCATCCTCACAATCCTTGGTGTGCTTGAGCCCATCATTGCAGCCTGGGTCAATCCTTTTCATTGGGGGACTTCCCCTTTTTTTGCTGACCCTCTACTTTACCAAGCATGATATCCTTCTCCAGGGACTGGTCCTTTCTGGTAACATGACCAATGTATGTGAGATGGAATCTGGCCATTTTTACTTGTAAAGAACATTCCAGCTGCACTTCTTCCAAGACAGAATTGTTTGTTCTTCTGTCAGTCCAAGGTATTTTCAGTATTCATTGCCAGCACCACAATTCAAATGCATCAATTCTTCTTCGGTTTTCCTTATCCATTGTCCAGCTTTCACAAACATGAGGGTATTGAAAGTACATTGGCTTGGGTCAGGCTCACCTTAGTCTTCAAAGTGACATCTTTTCTCTTTAACACTTTGAAGAGGTCTTTTGCAGTCAATAAATCAATTGAGCTGATGGAAGCAAACTTTCCATCTACACATCTTAATCTGTTCCTCCTATTTTTATCTTGCGCTTCATATTACATTGACTCTTATATAGTACTGAAACTCCTTTAGGAAATAAGTAGAATATATAATCTGAAGAAATAAATCTACATTAAAATAATCAAAGTCACTAGCCTCCAGAAAACTCAGATGGTATCTGTGACAGGAATGAGGAGGTTATCAATGGATTTTAATGTTTCACTGTTAATGTTCACAGAGGCTTAAGGTGATCACCATCCCTCACCTGTATGCATGTCTGCAGAAATCGAGAAAGCCCATTTTCCTCCTTCCCCAGCTGAACATCCCTGACAATCATCAGATTCACTCTTTGACACACTCTTTCAGCTTATTTGCCCATTTTTCGTGGACAAAATCCAGCCTTAGTTAAATCTATTCCTCTACTCTCTATATATTGAAATGTGCAGCTTTATGTGCCTGAATAACATCAAAGCACAGTCCTGCTTACCAGTCTCTCTTTAAATCCATGGTCTTCAATTTTAAGTGGAGCTTGTATAATCACAATATCACTCTAGTCCCATTTTTCTCAACTTTCCTTTACTAGCTTATCGCTAAGGAACCTTTTTCAACATTTTTTTTTTCCTAATCAAACTTTGAAAGTTTAATACCACAGATATAGTGTACATATGTTCATGTGCCATGGCTCTTTAGAAGGCCACACATCACTGTAGTATCCAAGATATTTTCACACACTCCCAAGAATGAATTTGTACCACTGAAGGGAAAATAAAATCAGTTGCTATAGAGTCAATTACAACTCATGGAGACCCCATGTATATCAGAGTAGGACTGCTCTCTATAGAGTTTTTTATTCATTTAAAAAAAAACAACTTTTTATTGTTATTTGATTGAAAGTTTATAGAAAAAAATTGGTTTTCAGTTCAGCAATTCATGTACATTTTGTCTTGTGACATCGATTGTAATTCCCATGATGTAACAGCACTGTTCACTTCTTCCCTGTGTTTTATCATTTCCATTAGCCCCTCTTTCCTATCCCTGTCTTCCTTCTCAGCTTTTACTCCAGGCAAATGCTGCCTTTATTTTATTTTGTATGGTTGATTGTTCTGAAGAGTGAGTGTCTCCCTGGTGTTATTGTTCAACTTATATGCCTGTGTATTCATTTGGCTGAAAGTTGAGCCATGTGTATAGTATTTAATGCCTAATTTTTCAGATGTTATCGCCCAGGTGTTTATTCTACTCTGACTCTGAGTGGACATGAGTCTCTAACCTTTCAGTTAGCAGCCAACCTATTAACCATTTTGGTCACCCCAGACTCTTTAAATTGTTAAATTTGTTGGCTACTAACCAGAAGGTCAAGAGTTCAAACTCATCAGCAGCTCATGGGAGAAAGATGTGACAGTCTGCTTCTGTAGACATTTACAGCCTTGTAAACTCTGTGGGGGAAGAGTTCTACTCTGTCCTGTAAGGTTGGTATGAGTCAGAATCAACTCAAGGTCAGTATGTTCTTTCTTTCTTTGTTTCTTTTCTTCCTCCTCCTCCTCCTCTTCTTCTTCTTTTTCTTCTTCTTCTTCTTCTTCTTTCTTCTTCCTCCTTAGGGGAAATGTTGCCCCATTAAAAGGATACTCTAGTCTTGAATAGAAAACTCTACGGAGAGCAATTCTACTCTGACATACATGGGGTGTCCATGAGTTGGAATCGACTCTATAGCAACTGATTTTATTTTCCCTAGAGAGGTACAAATTCATTCTTGGGAGTGCGTGAAAAGATTTTGGATACTAAAATGATGTGTTGCTCTCTAAAGGGCCATGGCATATGAACATATGTACAGTATATCTGTGGTGTTAAAATTTCAAAAAGCCAATCTTAATGATGTGAATAGAGTAAAGCTTTCAAGACCCACATTTGCTGATGTGGCATGTCTCAAGATGATAAGAAATAGCTGCAAATATCCATTAATAATTGGAACATGGAATGTACAAACTATGAATCTAGGAAAATTAGAAATGGTCAAAAATTAAATGGAACACATAAAGATTGATATCCTAGGCATTAGTGAGCTGAAATATACTATGATCTACTATGCCAGGAATGACAAATTGAAGAAGAATGGCATGACAGTCATCATAACAAAGAATGTATCCTGCATCAAGATATAACCTGAAGTACAATGCTGTCAGTAATAGGAAAATATCTATACACCTACAAGGAAGGCCAGTTAATACTATTATTATTGAAATTTATGCACCAACCTCCAAAGTCAAAGATGAGAAAATTGAAGATTTTTACCAACTTCTGTGGTCTGAAATTGACCAAACATGCAATCTAGAGGTATTGACTATCACTGGTGATTGGAATGCATAAATTGGAAACAAAGAAGTATCATTGGTAGCTGGAAAATTTGGCCTTGGTAATAGAAATTACACTGGATATTGCATGATAGAATTTTGCAAGACCAATGACTTATTCATTGCAAACACCCTTTTTCA